TTGTTTTATATTTTAATGACTTTAATGGCACCTTTTCCTTCTTTTTGAACAAGGAGCCTCACATTTTAATTTTGTGCTGAGCCCCGCAAATTGTTTAACCAGTCCTGTAGATCACCTAGCACTGTGCCAAGTATTAAACAGTGCTTAGCGATCGATAGCTATCATTTTCTTATCATTAATAACTGTTCACACACAGTCTGACAGTTTCATACGGTAAGGGGCTTCCAAAACTTTGACATCTCTCGTCTCATTTGATCCTCTGAGGTAGATAGGATATGAATATTGTATCCATTTTGTAAAAATCCAGAGAAGTCAGGAGGCCTAAAATCACGTTGCAGGTTAGTGGCAAATCGGGGCCTGGACCCGGGCGCTCTAACTCACGGCCCTATGTTTTCCCTGGAGGACCTGCCCGTCAGTGACCCACGGGGCGGCTGTGTGGCCTTTTCCTCACCCCCCTGGAGCCAGCAGCTCTGAGCAGTCCTGGAAACTCTGCTAGGTGCCATGGCGCTGTACGCAGTTGCCCGGCCACGCAGGAAGGAGCCCCGACCTTGTCCTGCATTTATTTTCTTTCCCAAACCTCACAAAACCATGAAAATCAAAGATGACTCCCAAGAAGCCAGCCACCAGACTCTGCAAACCCAGCCCAAGGCTGTGGATGGAGGGGCCACAGAGCTGTTTCTCTGCTCCTGTTGACTCAGGTCTGTTTACCTGGCTCCAGAGTTCCAGTTTCCTTGCCTCAGAGCTTGTGCAGCCCTCAGATGTATGCTCTAGGCAGATGGGATTTATGGTGTGTTCATCACCCTTCCCACCCCAGGACTCAGCACCTCTCCCTGCAGCTGTCAAAAACACGCAGTCATACCCAGCAGAGAGCATCAAGCAGTTCACCGAGGGGAGCTCCTCGGAAATAGTGCCTAGTTCTGGCCCAAAGGCTTTGCCCAGTTGCCCAAGTTCTGGTGATAAAAATGCCAAATATAATGTGGAGTGAAAAACGAAGTCAGACTAGCCCAGAGGGCAGGGTGGGGCAGGAGTCACAGGCTGGGGTTAGGGGACAGAGGAGGTTTGGCAGATGCCATGCTCCTGGGCTTGCCCTGATGTGCCCTAGACTTGAAGATGCGGGGAGTAGATGGCGTCCTTCTGGGGCTGTGCTGGAAGCAGAAGCACTCTGGGAATTGGACTAAATCCAGAAGCTGGCTTCCCTGAGTCCCAGGAGAGTTTATTTTTTTCCAATAACTTTGACTTTCATTTTGGGAATATTAAGTGAGAGGAGTATGGAGTCCAGGGCTAGAATGTGACTGAAGCAGCCATCTACCTCAGTCCTTAAGCTGGAAAATGTACAGGTTAATAATACCTACATGTATTGAACGTAAGCCATTTGCCATCCATTGGACTTTGAATATATTGTTTACACATTTATTTCTAAACTTCACAGCAGCTCTGGGATCACATTTATTATTAAGCCCATTTTAAAGATACAGAAAATGAGGTTCAAGTGGTAGTAGAACTTGACAAGTTCACATAGTAGTAAGTTGCTAGTATTGGAGCCCAGATACAATATTTCTCTACGAAGCAAGTTCAGGTCACGCTCTGTCCATTGGGCCTCTCATTGCTAAGCCCATGGAAAGAGTAGTCATGGTCACCACTCCTGACATCACGAGGATTTACCCAGCTTGCTTCGCAGGACAGTAGCCATTCTCGGACTTTCCTGGTGGCCCAGTGGTTAAGAATCCGCCTGCCAGTGCAGGGGACACGGGTTCGAGCACTGGTCCGGGAAGATCCCACATGCCACAGAGCAGCTAAGCCGGTGCGCCACAACTACTGAGCCTGCACTCTAGAGCCCGTGAGCCGCAACTAGTGAAGCCCACGCACCTAGAGACCGTGCTCTGCAACAAAGAGAAGCCACGGCAGTGAGAAGCCTGCACACTGCAACAAAGAGTAGCCCCCGCTCACCGCAGCTAGAGAAAGCCCGCATGCAGCAATGAAGACCCAACGCAGCCAAAAATAAATATATATATATTTTTAAATAGCCATTCTCTAGCACAACTGATGGTTCTGGGCCTCTCTCCGGGTGAAGGAAGTATAGAGTAATCCTCTCTGTTACCTCCTGGAGGAGAATGATGCAGAGGTTGGCAGTTTTCCATTCACCAATTTGTTCTTTTATTTCTTCTCTGCACTTTGAATCATTTTCCTTACTTTTAACATCTCTTCCAGTGACAAATTAAAGCCAAAGAGATCAACTGAAATGCTGTGATTCTATAAACTATGTCTGGTAAGAGCTCCGCCAAAAGGGAATCAAAATAAAGATCACCCTGGCACTACCACCAGGAAGGAATCTGTTGAAAAATTCTATTTTAAAGTCATCTGAATTTTATTAATCCCTGTTCTTGCGTCCTTCATCAAATTAGACTATTGAGAGGCTTTTGAAAAATATGGAGACTGTCAATAAGGTTGATCCCTGCAGAAAAATGGACTTTAAAAAAAAGAGTTTAAAGCCTCACAGTTTACATGGAAAATATTTTTTTTTGGCTTTCATTAATTTTCTAATGTTCACTTCCTTCAACTGTAAAAGAGGAATCCAATTCAACAAGTGCTCATTAAGAGATTACCATGTAAAAGATACGACATCACAGGGAAGATAACAGTAGAGAAGGTATGGGCTCTGCCCTCCAGAGTATGACAGGCCTACAGGCAAGGCTGCTACCTACTTAAGTAATTAAAATACTGGCCTGACTATGATCAGGCTGTAGCAGAAGCCCACACCAAGTTGTTGGGCCTCCAGGAATGGTAGCATCTGCCCCGATCACCCTGATCACCAGGGTCATTAGGATGTGACTGTGATATACGTGAAAGTGCTCTGTAAAGAAATGTACAGATCTAAGGAATTTTTCATCATTCTCATTACCAAGCATGGTAGTTAAGAATGTAGCCTCAGTGAACCCTCCTACACTGTTGGTGGGAATGCAAATTGGTGCAACCACTATGGAGAACAGTATGGAGGTTCCTTAGAAAACTAAAAATAGAGCTACCATATGATCCAGCAATCCCACTCCTGGGCATGTATATCTGGGGAAAACTCTAATTTGAAAAGTTACATGCACCCCAATGTTCATAGCAGCTCTGTTTACAGTAGCCAAGACATGGAAGCAACCTAAATGTCCATTGACAGAGGAATGGGTAAAGAACATGTGGTATATTTATACAGTGGAATACTACTCAGCTAGGAAAAAGAATGAAATAATGCCATTTGAAGCAACATGGTTGGACTTAGAGATTATCATACTAAGTGGAGTAAGTCAGACAAAGAATGACAGATATCACGTGATATCACTTATATGTGGAATCTTAAAATATGACACAAATGAACTTATTTACAAAACAGAAGTAGGCTCACAGACATGGAAAACAAACTTCTGGTTGCCAAAGGGGAAAGGTGGGTGGAGAGATAAATTAGGAGTTTGGGATTAACAGATACAAGCTACTATAAATAAAATAGATAAACAACACAGTCCTACTATATAGCACAGGGAACTATGTCCAATATCTTGTAATAACCTATAATGGAAAACAATCGGAAAAAGAATGTATATATACATATATATATATAGAGAGAGAGATTTCTGATATGTATATTCAGAAACATACATATGCTGTACACCTGAAACTAACACAGCATTGTAAATCAACTATACTTCAATATAAAAAGAATGTGGCCTCAGTAATCAAGCCTGGATTGGTCTCCCTACTTTGCCACTTATACTATATAATCTTATGTAAATTGCTTAAATACTTTAAGATTCAATTTCCTCAGCTATAAGAAGGGGATAATAATAGGACGTACCTATATGGATATTGTGGGCATTAAATGAGTGGATATATCTAAATGACTTTGCACATTGCTCAGCACAGTACAAGGCCACAGAGATGTTATTGGTGTTGCTATCATCCATGTTTACAGTACTTCTCAAAACTGTCATCAAAAACAAGGAGAGTTTGAGAAACTCTCATAATCAAGAGGAGCCTAAAGAGACATGATGAGTAAATGTAGTGTGGTTCCCTGGATGGGATCCTGGAACAGATGAAGACATTTGAGGATAATCTGAATGAAAAATGGGCTATTGTAAATAATAATGTATCAAAATTGGTTCATTAAAATTGTGACACATGTACCATACTAATGCAGAACGTTACCAATACAGGAGGCTGGGTCTAAGGTATATGGATGGAAACTCTCTCAACTATCAACACAACTTGTCTGTAAATCTAAAACTATTCTAAAATAAAAGGTTATTTATTTAAAGAAAAAAGGAAAAGCATCACAAGAATGTAATCATAACAAGAGAGCTAAGGAACTACGAGGGAAAAATCAGTCAAGTTAACCTTAGCCTGCATCACAGTTTTTCAAAGAACCAGCAACTGGCCAGGAGAATTTTCATTAGGAAACAAAAGACAAAATTCAATAGCCAATATTAACCTATGTTCTTAAAAAAAGGCTGTCTTGAGCGATTTGGTTAGTAGCCAAGGCCAACTCTAGTATTATGGTGTGTTACCAGTGGTATATGATGGCCAGTATCGCTGAGAATGTTGAATAAGTATTTTCCTTTAACATATGATTAAACTCTCTGTTTAAGAGGTTAGAGTCTAGTACAAGCTAAAAGTCTACCTCCAACTGGAGAGAGCTATTGAGTACCTCTTCCACTTTATTTTTCAAGAGATAATGAGACAGGGCTTCCCTGGTGGCGCAGTGGTTGAGAGTCCGCCTGCCGATGCAGGGGACGCGGGTTCATGTCCCGGTCCGGGAAGATCCCACATGCCGCGGAGCGGCTGGGCCCGTGAGCCATGGCCACTGAACCTGTGCGTCCGGATCCTGTGCTCCTCAACGGGAGAGGCCACACTCAACTTCCCATCCCTCCTTGTTTTTGCCCTTAGAATGGGGCTGTCAAACGTGATGATTTTAACTACATTATTAACATCTGTATCATCTCTTTTCCCATATCTGCCTCCAGCTGGCACCTTGGCTGGCTCCCTGGGAAACACAACTGGGCAACTCATGGAAAAGTCAAGGAGATAACCTCAGAAGTAATTCTGCATGGAGATGCTGAACCAGGACTCAACCCCTTCTCGCTCTGGATCGTCTTTGTCATTGTCAAATAAGAGATTCATGGAGGGGTTTATGTATTTCCAAATGGGATTGTAAATGCTTAAAGTTCATAGAATGTTGGATCTGGGAGGAGATTCTCAGTTCAACTCAACCTTACATCCTACGAGAAGGAAACAGAAATCCCAAAAGTCATGCAGTTATATGTAACCAAGATGGAAACTAGAACCCTATTTCCCAACTTCCAGAGGAAAAAGTTTGGCTCCAAGAATAGGCTTATTCCCCTGAGCCCTAGAGCTGATAACCGGGGAGCCTCTTCACTATGTAAAGGTCACTGAATGATGACTTGCTACTACAGACACATTCCTACAGCACCTACAGTGTTCAAGACAGAGGTAGTACAAGAGGGAAGTAAACTATGAGGGATGGGCAAATCTGGGTAGGGGACAGCCATGCCACACCCAACTGAGATGTGGATTGGGCAATCTATATATAAAACTATATTCCAGGTCCTGACTTCTAAAATGCATCAGCGGCTCTAGCTGAATGGCATTCTAGCCACACAGTCATTACCCCTTGATCCTAAGTTCGGCACAGCAGTTCTTACCATTAATTCTTCTAGTGTTGTAAAGAAGTAAGGGCAGAGGTGGGTGCAGATGGCAGACAAAAGAGTGGGTCATTTGGCCTGCTTAAGCCATAATAAGGTCTCCCATCTCAGCACTAACCTATCTGCCAGCATTACAGGTGGCATGTAGCATGAATTCATCCACTGTTCTGAGTCACCAATTTTCCTAATCCAGGCACACCTCCTGCCCAGCTCAACTTGACTCTGTTGATCCATCAATTGCTGTCATCACCAGGAGTCAAGGTAAGCAGGTATTTTCAAGATTTTTTTTAACTTTGCTAACACCAAGAACTCTTTCAATATTAAAATCTCAGGCAGCAAGCGTGTCTTTCTAGTTTGGTTTGTAATAGTTTGTAAATGCGTTAATAATCCACCCAACTTTGTCTGTCATACTTTCTGTTTCTCTAAATACACAAGCACGTGTCCTGATTAAGTTCTTATGTGGATTGTGTTAAGTCTGTGAGCTTGGGTGACTGTTAAAGTGCTCTGTGGTTTTGTCCTTTTATTTCAGGAAATACTTTCCCTAGTTAACCTCTCTGTGGTGTATATTCCTGTGCACAGGAAGTTCATTCTGTGGCCAGCTTCTGTTGTTCATTTTCCTCTTGACTGCAGGAAGATGGGTTGATATCAGGTTGCGAGATATGAAAGAGGGAGGCATCTACCCCCTACAAAAAGGACAAACGACACCAGCATGGTATCAGTTATCAATTTCGCAGTAGATTGTCCCTGATAGTTGGTAGCCCCCCAACTATCAGGAACAACTATCTCATCTGGAAACACATAAATACCACAGGCTATGCAGCCTCAAAAGATTGGCCAAGGCTTCAGGCCCAATTTAAAACTTCTCGATTTCAATCTATTTTGCTTAATCCTCACATGTACAGATTATCAATTTAGAGCTGTTAAACCCTAAGACCCTGAGAACAGATATAAAGTTATGTTCGCTGTCGTCTTCTATGCTTTGCCCTGTCCCCCATAAAGTAGACATGCAAAATGGGGGTGGGGTGACATTTGATGAAGTAATGAATTATTGAACGTTTATCACTAAGCAAGCTCAAACTTTTCCAAACTCACTTCATCATTTCTGCTTCTGCCTGGCATTGGCACCTCTTGATGCTTTTCTAAAAGCTTATTAATTACGAGGGGCTAGAGAAAATACATTTTTATCAAGTCTAAGCCTCTTACGTCTCTACCTTCTCATACCTTAGATCAACAATTGATAGAGGCTATAGCTTTCCCCAATTTTGGCTGCACTGCTAGGGCTGATGTCAGCCTTGCTTCTTTTATATCCTTATGTTTATTGGCCAAGGGTACGTAGAACATTGAATGCACACATGGATATGCTGAGTTCTCAGGCCGTTAAAGTGATAATACAAATAATAGTATAGTGAGAGGGCAAGATGCTAGAAGGGGGAACAAATCATTATTACAGGAATAATAGAATTAAAGGACTTTCTCTACTCAGGGTGCTTAAGGCCCCAGTGGGTGATGAGGCTCTTTCATAAAGTATCCTAATCATACCCCCCATGAAGCCACTAATTTACTGCGGAGTAAGTTGGGCAGGGAGATTTCTATCCAGATTGGAGCTTGGGAAGTAGAGAATCAAAATACAGTTCATAATTCACATCTTCCATTATCTCCCCCAAAACAGCCCTTCAAATAAATTGAGGTTTGGTAACAGAAGCAAGAGCATTCTACTCTCTGACTAATTTCTACTAGTAGGGTGACCAACTTTCCAGGTTTGCCCAGAACTGTCCTAGTTTTAGCACTGAAAGTCCTGCTTTCCAGAAACCCCATATCCCCACAGAAATCAGATAGGTTGGTTAGCCTAAGAGAGAGAAAGAGAGTGGGCGTACCTTTTAGCAACACAGTCCTCACTGGCAAGAAAAATAGCAGCCTTGCAGCTGGATCCAGCCCACCCTAGTGTCTCTAGGTAGGTCAGCAGCATGTGATCCAGCAGGTCACAGAAGGTCATGAGCATAGGGACCTGTGTGTGGGGATGGGGAGAGGGGCACAGCACCTGTCTTTTCTAAACTCCATGTATTTGGTGTATCCTCTTATTTAGACTCATGAGGGAGAAAGGGGCAGGGATAACTTTCCCTTTTTGTCCATTTTATGGATGGGGAAATAGCAAGAGGGAGGCAGTGCAGCTTGCTTGAGATTTCACAGGTAGTAGCAGGGCCCATGTGTGAAACACAGTTCTGATTCCTAGATTGTGATGTGGCATGGACTTTTAATGCCTACAAAAATCCTACCTGGGCTGATTGAAGGAATGAAATGAGGAGGGCACAGTGTACTTGCACAGAGGTTAAGCAGAGGTTTTCCACTTCTGGAATTCACTTGCAGAAGAAGGTGCTGGCTTCCTACACTCAGGGCCCAGCAAAAACCTCTGTACACAATGCCTAAGGTGGCAGCCCTAGTGGTCCTTGGTGGGGAGGGAACCAGAGTGTATGTGACTCTAGGGATGGGAGAGGGATTCCATATGAAAGCAGACTCTCTAAATGAGGAAATTAAACATTTTTTTAGGAGCTTCCTGTGTATAGAGCCACAGAAACTTGTATGGAGCTGAACTGAAAGAATTCAACACTAGAACTGAAAGAATTAGACAATGCGTTCCCTTGAGGAGTTTTGAGTCAGATGTTGGGAAAATCAAGGAATAAACATGGAAAGGATTTGAGAACAATGGAAGTAATGTAGGTTGACCTCGAGGGTTGTGATGGCAAATAAAATAGGACAAAAATAACATTGAATTTACCTCAAATGTAGGTTGCCTGGTTTCTTGGTCTCCCAGGGAACTCAGTCCAAACTGGGAAGTGCTGTGGGTTCCTCTGAATATTCATGGCTCTGCCAGATCCTTCCCATTTCAAGCTACTTTTCCCAAGGGTTATTTGAAACTAAGAGGAAGCTGGGATTCTCAGGTATCCTGCCCCTGCCACAGAAGAGAACTTTTTCTGAGAGGAGAACCTGTTTATCACTCCTTCCCCACACAGGCAAATTGAAACACCATCATTTTACTTCACACACAACTCTTAGGCATGCACCTACCTCGTTTGCTCAGCAATCATTGTGTGTGCATTTCCTTTGTCAGGTTCTATGCTGTGTGAGGGACATAGAGATGAAAGGACCAAATTCCTGCTTTTCATGAAGTTTACCATCAAATTCTCTGCCCAGGGTCCAGGGTTTCCCTGGTTCAGGATCATAAGACCTCAAAACTTACTAAGCTGGAGAGTAAAGAGAGGGAAGTGTCAGAAGAGGGGAGAGGATGTCCAAGGTAGCAAAGACTACTGTCAGCTCTAGACCTTCTCTTGCCCTCCATCCCACCAAGGGTTTCCAAGCTACTGCAAAGCTCAGCCTTGTTACTAATATGAATATGTGGACATCCCTATAGGGACAAAGGTTCAGTTGTAATATAAGGGACATGTGATATTATGATATATAATAAGAAATATATATTTGGTCTTTGCCCCTGGGTCTTGTATGAAACTTCGAAAACCCTTGTAATTTCCTGAGTGAAGAGGGTGAAAGAAACATCTTTTGTCATTCATAATAAGCCCCTTTCACACATATTTGAATTTATGCTAATAAGGTGACTTTTGAAACATCCCTAGATAGCATCAGGATGGGGGTGGGGTACTGGTTGCCAAAGGAGACAGCAGTGTGATTGGAGGGTTGGAATTTCAGCCCCACTCCCCCAGCAGTCAACCTCTAGGGAGGAGAGAGGGACTGGATATTGAATTAATCACCAAAGGCCAGTGATTTAATCAATCATGTGTATGTAATAGAACCTCCATAAAACCCCTAAATGAAAGGGTTCAGAGAGCTTCCAGGTTGGTGAATGCATCTCATGCCAGGAGGGCGACATACCCCAAACTCCACAGGGACAGAAAGCTGCTGTGCTCAGTACCCTTCCAGACCTTGTCCTGTATACCGCTATTCATTTGCACCTTTATAATATTCTTTATAATAAACTGGTAACAGTGTCGACTGAAAAAAAAAAAAAAAGCACAACCTAGAAGTTGACAATCATGTTTTATTCGGCAGAGTTACTGAGGACTTAAGCCAGGATGCAGCCTCTCAGCCAGCTCTGAGGGACGGTTCCCCAGAGGTGAGGGAGGAGCCAGGATATAGAGGCGTTCTTACAAAAAAAAACCCAGGTAGTGGAACATCAGAAGATTACTGCTAATTATAAAACAAAAACAAGCCAGACATCTCAAGTTAATGAATTTAGCACTTTTCTATGTATGGGAAGATGCAAGAATCTGGGCTTATTGAAATTATCCATTTGTTACGCACCTTAACTATCTAGGGCCCGCATCCTGTTTTTTCTCCATCCCGAATCCCCTCAGGGTGCACCAGTGGGGGGCAGCCACAGTGGCTGATGGCTTGATGACTGCCACACCCTTTGTTTACTGAAATGGCAGGTGGCATTCTTTGTCCACATAAGTCAAGTGGGATCCTGTGAGCCATAATAGCAAATGACCAAAACCGAGGAGGAGGGGGCTGTTGGAACCCCCAGTTTGGGTCAGTTGGACAGAAGTGTGGTAACCTGGGAACCTATTCCTTACAATTGGCGTCTGAATTGGGGGGCAGTCTTGAGGGACTGAGCCCTTAACCTGTGGGGTCTGCACTGAGTCCATGTCGTTAGTGTCAAAAGTGAATTAAATTCTAGGACACCCAGCTGACGTCTGAAGAGAATTGCTTGGTATGAAAAACCCATACATTTGGTGTCAGAAGTGTTACGAGCAGGGCCAGACTTCCATCCATGACTCTGTCATTTGCTTCCCCAAGAAAGATTTTTCAATAGATATTGCAACCCAGTTCAATTAGTGAGGTCTGAGTTGCGATGCCACCTTCTAGCCCTGGTAAGCGCTCTGTACTTGGTGACATTTATAATGATGATAGTTACCACCTTCATAACGCCAACTGAGAAATAAGACCAGAGCTGTAAGGCAACAAAAACATTTATTTGGTTTAGGAACTGCAATTTGGGAGACACAGATTTGAATAGAAACCCAGATGTGCTCCAAGGAGGGTTGAAAACCAAAGCGTTTTAAAGGGAAAGGAGGAAGCTTACATAAGTTGTTTTGCAAAAATTATGATTGGTGCTGGTAGACTGGAGCCATTCTTGTCTATATGTGATTGGTTGCTAGGGCTGTTACTATGTGAGAATTCACTGTGTAAACGTTCTTTAAGGATGTGATGGCCCAGGTCAAAGTTCACGTTCCATTAGATGGAGACGTGCA